GGCTTCATATCTCTAAGTCAGTGCCTTTCTTAGACTTGTTAATACTATGCACCTGTGTGTGATAACTTCTGCCAATCTTGCCAACTTGTTTTTCCCTAACTCTTTCAATATGTGACTGTCTATGTGTTATTTTACTAAGTGTTGAACCTGCTTCTAAGTCCCTACTGAACCTACTTTTAAGTTTATGACCTCTCTGATTTGTTGCTTTGTGTTCTCAACCTTGTTATGTCTGCTTTAAGTTATAAGAATATCCCCTCAACTTCTGTCCCTCAACTATTGTCTACTCTCCCCCATTTGTTACCTGTGCTATACTGATCCTCTCATTCTTGGTCGGCTGAAAGCCAAGGCCACTAAGGCTCTTATTACTGACCTCCCTAGTGTGAGCACTGCTTGTAGTCCATTTGAGACTCTTGTGAACTCTGACACAGTAGGATTTGGGGTTCTTTATTCACTCCGTCTACTACTGAGACCTGCACGATTCCTGACAGCCAACCCTTTCTTCCTATTATCTGCTGAATATCTAAGCTGGTTGGTTTAAGTGATTCAATGCTTGGAAATATGGGTGTCTGATTTGTCTTTGAGCTCTTCTATGGATTCTGGGTTGTGTTGATGAATATGGATCCTTGTGGGAAATCTGGGTATGCTGCGTGAGAATTGCTGAAGGCCCAGACAGTGCTGGGTATTTCTTTTGGGCCTGCTGTGGGCCTACTATCATTATTTGTACAATATTTGTAATTTCTTTATCATTGGTTCTGTAATAATTTTGTAAGAACAATTGGGTGTTGGTAAAAATGGGGAGTGGGTAGATTCTTAACATTTGCATGAAAAAGGAGTAGACAACATGCCTATAGGACCCAATGATTTACTTGCTATATATATCTATGTGCACTGTAGAAATCATGTCATTAGGGGAAGCACGCACACACACACACTGTCTGCTAGCAAACATGAATTCAAATGCTCTAACTATTCCTACTGCTACGTGATACTAGAAAACCTGCCTATAGGGAATAAATATCACTGAACTTTCTTTCAATTCGCCTCAGCATGTTCATTAGAAATCATGTCTATAGGATTTTGATCACTTCATTCGCTATTGTGTCGCACTGTTCATTAGAAATCATGCTGATAGGATTTTGATCACTTCATTTGTTATCGTGTCAGACTGTTCACCTAGAAGACACGCCGAAGGGCTAAGTATAACGATAAAATCGGTTCCAAGTGCTAATCGTTAGAGATCCTGTCTATAGGATACCACTATTTGCCTTAATAATTGTTAATGCTGCACTTCTCGATACTGTTTACAGCTCATTTATGTTGCTGTCAAAAACATGAATAATTCTGGGTTTTCTCTCAATAGATTTCACTGTCACTTAGCGCGTAAATCACTTAAACACAACATCTATAAGTTTAATAACTGGAAACCTGCTATCTCTGTAATCAGCGTGTAAAAACTGTATAACCCTGTCTATGAGCAACGTCTAGCCTCTGTATGTTTTAATGCATTGTCACATAGAAATCTTGTATACAGGGCTTAAGGTTCTTAATTATGAATCGCCTAACATGAAAATTTGTCTTGTATGCATTTGTTGCTTAAGTGTGGAGGCAAACTTGAGCCCTTAATTGCCATATTTGAAGTCCAATGTGTTTTGCATGTCGCCTAGTATTGACATTTCTGAGCAGCCTAAGTAAGGTCTAGAACCACCCAAGTAAAGGTCCAATACCTCCTGGACCATAGGTATGTGACGGGTAGTGCACGCATAAAGCACGACATAGAATTGAATTAGTGTGCTTCAGGTAAACAACTTTAACATAGTAATCGGGTAGCAGGAGATGATAGTCTATGCCCGTTGAATAATATGAGTAACACCCTACCTCAAGGGAGTTGTGAAGTATTAAGTGATCCTATATGCTAAAAAACTTAGGACCCCCCCTCCACCATTTTTATGTTTGCTATTAGATCTAAATAGTTGGATCCCTATATTCGTACTAAGATCTGTACTAATCGTGTTGTAATGAAATTCTTTGACCTTTAAAATTCCCTTTGTCTATTTGATCACTTAGCCTAATTGTGATCCACATAATCTTAAGTTCGGCCGGGACCCGGAGTTGTGGACCTCGAAGAGTGCCTAACACTTTCTTTTGGAGGTAATTTGAACCCTTACCCGATCTTTGGTGGCGTTCACTAGTCAAATAGAGTTATCTGCATAATAGGTGCCCAAACGCACCTTAAAATCACTAGGTAGAGACTCTTCTCCTTTAGCACTCTATCTCCCATTCCAAAAAGAGTTGTCATGACGTCGAAACCTGCTTCCGCGAGAAAATGGGGCACGACAATCACCTTTTCAAATATTGTTTGGTAACGATCCGGATTATAATTCTTTAAAAATTTTCGGGTGTCTCTATTATCCCTGGCTCAAACCCTATTCAAAAAAAAAAAAAATAGAGCCACGGTCAACACCTTGTGTTTATTTAGGTTATTGTTTAAATTATTATTGTCATCAATGTTTTCAAATATATTCTTAAATTTTAAAACTCTTGCATGGGAAAACCTAACTGAAACTAACCCAACAAAATCTCCTATTTTTTCTCCTCCCATAATAAGTGAATTACCCAACCCTATACTTATTCCAAATACAGAAACCAGCGCTCAAAAAGACATCGTATCCTCTACCTGTGCTCCAACAGAATCTACAACTACAGGTACGTCTTCTACTTCTCCTCCTACAAATTCTGTTGTTCCTCCTGATCTTAATGATACCCAATCTTATCCCCCATTGCCATCCCAAACAGTTATCCCAAGAAATTCAAATGTCTCCTCTCCTCCACAATCACTACGTACATTATCACCACCCCCTTCCTCAACACCTATATATTCTCAACAACCATTCACCTCAATCTCACGGTCTCAATCACCATCTTTTCCAATTGTATACAGTCGCAGAATGGCCAAAATGACATCTACTGGCCAAACCATTGTTGCTCGTACCACTGCCTCATCTCCACAACCCTCATAACCTTCCCTAGAATCACTTCCAGTCACAGAACCACAACAACCTTCTCTCCCTCCTCCAAATCGTGTTGTGACTCGTTCATAAAACAACATTCACAAACCGAAAACAATCCTTGACTTCATGGCTCACTTATCCCCCACCATCACCCGTTTTAAATAAGCTAAATAACACCACAGTGGCAGAGAGCAATGAAAAGGAAATTTGATGCATTATTGAATAATCAGACATGGGAATTGGTACGACATGACCCCCAAAAAAATATTGTTTCTTGCAAGTGGTTATACAGGTTAAAGAGAAAAGTTGATGGGACAATCGATCGCTACAAGGCTCGTCTTGTTGCAAAGGGGTTTACACAACACCGTGGAATTGACTTTCACGCTACATTTAGTCTGGTTGTCAAACCAACTACTGTGCGCTTGGTGCTTTCAATTGCTTTCCAGCAGAATTGGCCCATACGTCAGCTTGATGTCAACAACGCGTTCTTGCAGGGTCACCTAGAAGAAGAAGTCTACATGGTCCAACCTCCGGGTTTTGAAGATGAGCAGTTCCCTTCACATGTATGTCGCCTAAAAAAAGCTATATGCGGACTCCAGCAAGCTCCTCGGGCCTGGTACAATGAACTTAAGACGTTCCTTCTTTATTTGGGATTTGTCAAGTCCGAATCTGATGCATCACTTTTCATTCGCAAAGTGTCGAACAACGTGTTGTATGTGCTAGTTTATGTAGATGATATCATCATCACCGGGAGCCATAGCTCATATGTAAATCAGGCTATATATTGTATTGCTGGCCGTTTTTCCATTAAGGATCTCGGAAACCTTAACTTTTTTCTCAGGGTTGAGGTGCTTTGTGTTGCAGATGGAATTACTCTATCACAATCCAATTACATCAGTGAAATCCTCTCTGAAGAAAATATGAAAGACTGCAATTCCGCAAAAACTCCAATGAGTTCCAGTGAAGTTCTTCAACAAAATAATGGAGCGGAACCAACTGATGCCACTCGCTACAGGAGAGTTCTTGGAAAACTACAGTACTTGTCGTTCACTCGTCCAGACATAAGTTTCTTAGTGAACAAATTGTCTCAATTTATGCACTCCCCATCTGAAGTACATAAGAAAGAACTCAACTGAGTACTCAGGTATCTTCAAGGAACAATTCAGTTTGGTCTTGCATTCAAAGAGATAATGATTTCAAGCTACACATGTATTCTGATGCGGATTGGGTTGGAGATGCGAGTGATCGAGCCTCCATTACTGGTTACATGCTGTTTTTTGGCAAAAATCCTGTGAGCTGATCATCCAGGAGATAAAGAACAGTTGCTCGCTCATCAACCAAAGCAGAGTATCGAGTGGTTGCAAGTGCACTTGTTGAAACAAATTGGGCGACGAATCTGCTAAATGAACTACATGTTTCAATTCCACAAGCACCAATCATTTACTGTGACAATGCTGGTGCAACTTATTTGTGTTAATCCAGTCTGCCATAGCTGTATGAATCACATTGCGGTGGACTTTCACTTTGTTCGCAAGCAAGTCCAACATAATCAAGTTCGCATTGTTCATATTCATACTGCAGATCAGCTCCCGGATACCCTCACCAAAGAGCTACCAAAGCCAGCCTTTGATAGACACATATTCAAGCTAGGCGTAGTTACACACTGCCTAACTTGAGGGGGGCGTATTAGCGCATAAGTTAACCACCAACTACTTTACTGCTTTGACCAATTCCTTAGCTAGTAGTTAGGATTTTATTATTCATTTATTTTCTCAAATAAATATCCTTATTCAAGGAGTTTGTTTAGCAACTGGTTTAGTCCTCCTCTTTTAGAGGAGTTAGTTTAGGAAATTAGTTTTTCACTCCTGTATTTAAAGGTTGCTCTGATTCAATAAACATATCAACTTTTTGTGTTTCTCTTATTCTTATATATATATATATATATATATATATATATATATATATATATATATATATATATATATTATTTATTGAATCTCCTTGATTTATTTGTATATTTACTTCTTTAAATTTTATGAGACCCCTTAATGAAAATTCTAACGAGCGACAAAGGGAGGTCCTCATTTCATGGATTGCAAATTAGAATTAATCTTATGTCTGTACCACTAGTTTCATAGGCGTGGCTTTTCTTGGACCAAAAAAGTGCAAAGTAATATTGCTCACAATATTGTTTTCCTATCGAAGAAATCCATATTTTTTTAAATGAGATAATTATAGAGTCTTTCCTTCAAGATTCTTTTCGTTATGATGATTTTATTTGTGTTTTACTTATTTTTTTATTTTTAAAAATTCATGTAGCGACTTTAACAAATTTATCTTAAAGTAAACATTTATAATGTACCAATTTTGCCCTTTCTCTTCTTATTTTCAAAGGAATGTTCCCCTTTCTCTGTGTGGCCTGGGTTCATATAATCATAAAAAATATTGACTAGTTGTCAAAGATATTTCTCTGGCGACTTCAATCGATTATGAGTTTCTAGCTAGAGTGTATCAAAGGTGTCACTTATGTTAAACTAATACGTCGTATAATATGTAATGGAGCTGATGCCATCAATTAAATACAGGGAAAATTTCATATAAAAACAGCTGGGCTCCCTACTTTTCAACTTTATAGCCCATATTTCAATTTACAATTGAGTAGCCCAAAAATAACAGGCCCATATCCGAAAAAGGGGGCGTTATTTCCGTTTTTGGGATTCAGAAGCGGGATTTTGTATCTTTCAGCGGGATTTTCTCTCATTCTTTCCATTCTTCTTCCCCAAATCTACAAAAATGCGATCTCACAGTCAATGTAACTCCAATAAACCTAGAAATTCTTCTTCTTCTCGAATTAACAGCAGTTCAAATACGAAAAGTGAATTTTTTTTGCTGCATTCAGCGCGATTCTTATTTTTGCTGCAATTTTGATTTTAACTTTTTGTTTGATGGAGCTTTTTTCAGTTTACGTTCTTCATAGTGGTGAATGGGAAGACAACAAGTTTATCAATTTCGTCAGCGATTGTGTAATAAACGAGTCGACAGTCAGCTACAACAATTATGTTGAAGCAATTTCGAAACAGATTAGAATTGATTATGAGTTAAACACATTAGACATTAACTTTCTCCCAAAAGATGGTTTGGCACCGATCCTGATTTACAACTATACTGGTGTTCGGGTGTATATTTAATTAAAGAAGAAAAACTTCAATTTCACTGAGTACCCGTTGTATGTGACTGTGAAAGAGATTTATGATAATTGTTTGGTTGCTACAAGCTCCAGTAGTTTGGTTGCTACAAGTTCCAGTTGTATAGATAAAGGCAAATATGTAAATGATATTGAAGATGCATCCACAATTGATAGCACAGAGATTATGCCTGATATCAAATTAATTGAGAACACTGATTATGGTATAATAGATAATATGTTAAATGAATTGGTTGAGGAGGATCAAGTTTATAAAGATAAAGAGACAGTTGTCAGTGTGATGAAAAACTTGGCTGTACACGAAAGGTTCCAATTCAAGGTGAAGAGATCAAGCGCAACAAGGTATGGCAATAGTTGTACATTCTGTTATATATATGTATAAATATGTATAAAGTAGTATATATTTGTAATAGAGGTATTAAAATTAGTATATATCTAGTTATATTTTTGTATACAAGTGTATTTAGAAGTTGAATGATCTTTAATCCTAGGTATCACCTTATGTGTGTGGATGACAATTGTGCTTGGAGTTTTAAATCTTCTGCCGTTTACAAGGCAAACATATTCAAGGTTAGAAGTTATAATAATAATCACACATGCGGCTATGGTGAAAGATACTTAACACAACGTCAAGCTACTTCGGGTGTAATTGCTAGTATAGTCAAGGACAAGTATGTTAATTCAAAAAAAGTTTACACCGCAAATGATATAATAGAGGACATGCAAAAGCAACACGGGGTTGAAGCGAGCTACATGAAAGCATGGAGAGCTAAAGAGATAACAATGGCAATGATAAGGAATCCGAGCGATTCATATAAGGAGTTGCCGAGGTATTTGTATATGTTGGAGCATACAAATCCAGGAACGGTTACAAAGTTGCACAAATCAGAAGATGGATGCTTACTTTATGCATATGTTTCGCTATATGCATCTATCAAGGGCTGGGAGAATTGCAGACTGATAATGGTTGTTGACAGAAGTTTCCTTAAAGCAGCATATAAGGGTACCATATTGACTGCTTGCACACAGGATGGAGCTGGTGAGTTGACTGCATCTACCTTGTTTCTGTAGTTTGTATAATGTTGTAGTTTCATGTACAAACGTGTATAGGATTTCAGAGCTGTTGTTTTTATAAAATTTGCAGTATGTATAAAGTTGTATATTCGTGTATAACTATGTATAAGATTTGTATAATTGTCTGAATCCTAATATCTATTTTGTATAAACAGGAAAAATCCTTCCACTTGCATATGCAATTGTAGATTCAGAGAATAATAAATCTTGGGAGTGGTTCTTCGTCCAGATAAAGGGTACTTTTGGTGTTAGGGAAGGGATGTGTATAGTTTCAGATAGAAATGAAAGCATCTTCAATGCCACAAAAGCTGTGTACCCAGAAGTTCCACATTGTATTTGCATGTTTCACTTGTGGCAGAATGTCAAGCGCACATTCAAGAAACATCACAAACAATTGAAGGAGATCTTCTTCGCTTTGGCTAGAGCTTACACGATAGAGGAGTTTGACTACCATATGAGAGAGATGTGCAAAATTGATTCGAGGGTGTAGCCTTACTTGTTCGAAATTGGCTATGAAAGGTGGTCTAGGGCATACTCCAAAGTGAAAAGGTCGATGGTAATGACATCCAATATTGCAGAGTCAATTAATGCAGCAAACAAAGATGCTAGAGATCTACCAATAATGCGATTGCTGGAGTATATGACAAATTTGCTACAACAGTGGAATAACAAAAACAAAAAAAGTGCAATGGAGACATCTACAGAGCTTGGAGAAATGTACGACAAACTCCTTCGAGAAAATCAGATTGCATCGGAGCAAATGACAGTAAAACAAATCAAATATAATGATGCATGGCACTGCTGACTTGCATTTTACTGCTTGTATAAGGATGTATAACTCTGTATAATAATGTATAATGTGCGTTAACTTTTTTTTTTAAAAATTTTGCAGGTGAGGCCTGCTACGGAGCAGTTATATACTGTGCTTGAAGGGGTAAGGCGAAACATAGTGTGCCTTGAAGAGGAACATGCAGTTGCGGAAAATTTCAAATGGATGAACTTCCATGTCCGCATGCTTGGGCGATATTGAAGAACCAATAGCTGAAACCCGGCTAGTATTGCTCTTTTTACTACAAGAAGGATAACCTCCTTAGAACTTATGAATTTCCAGTGAATCTGATGCCAGATGAGAGTTTATGGGTAATCCCAACAGAGGTGCTGGAAGATATGGTCCTACCATCTAAAGGGAGAAGAAATGCAGGAAGGCCAAGAAAGGAAAGACTCAAACCGGCTTTAGAGAAAGAGCATAAGAGGGGTTTTTTATGTTCTGTATATGGACAAAGTGGTCACAATAGAAAAACATGCAGGAATCGACCAAAATAAATAGTTGGAAACATAACACTTCCTATTACATATGTTGTCATGTTGAGTAGTTAAGTTTCACAAACAATAGAGTTACAAATGTTGAGCAGTTAAGTTTCACAAGCAATTGAGTTACAAATGTCAATAAAGAATTACAATTTATACTATATGTTGCAATTATGTTAAATATATTTCATTATACATGTTTTGATTATCCACTAATAGTTTGTTGATGTTTTTAATGGTGCTAAATATATAGATAGATTGTGCAAATGCAAAACAAAACTGCAAACAATCAGTGCCATTATATGTATACATATATATAAATGAGAGTATAAGTTTGTATAAAATTGTATACATATGTATAAACCCTGCAAAATTGACAAAACTGCAACAATAACGAAAATTACATACTTTGTTAAAGAAAAAAGCAATTAAAGTATTCATTAAAATGTAATTCATTCACAACAACAATGTGTAATGACTACCATAAACTAAAAAAAAATAAATTCATCTACATTAAAATGAAAAAAAACCAGAACTACTTTCTCGGTCATCCCCTCTTCCTCTTCCTGAAAAGTCTCCCTGTGATTTCATCACCACTAATTGCACCGGACTATTATTTTTTCCTTCCAAAATCCCACAACAGAGATCCCCACCTGGTGCGAAGTGTCTCAATTTCAAAATTATCTTTTCGAATTTCCTTAGCCAGGATGAAATACTCAGCAAAGCCAACAACAAAAGCACCATAATCGCTGTAATTAAAACAAAAAATCAGATTCTTTGTATGTTACTGTAAATAGGTACACAAATAGTAAAATAGTAAAACAACTAAGATTAACCTACCATTTGATCTGTTGTGGTACATTATTAACCAGATAAATCTGCAAAGCATCTGAATGAGTTTATCGGTATGTGCACCATTGTTCCAATCAATGCCCTCCTTCTCGACATAAAAATCAGAACTCTTCAAGAAGTAAGGTATAAAAATTTCATAAGGTAATGCAACATCCAACACAAGTCTATCATTAATAGCTCCACGGTTAGAGTCATAGATGTGGATGCACCTATCTATGAACGTAAACAACCCCAAAACCCAGTGGATCAATTGTGCTCTTCCGCGCTTGACATGAATAGGGAATAAGACGCGGTCAACAGTGTGCCACGCTACATTTGCATCACAATAAAACCCTCTAATGTACTCTGCTATTTCATGCCCTTCAGGAATCACTGAAGGATCTTGCTTCACTTTGAAATCTTGATACAGTGAATTGATTTTGTTAACAAAGGCAAAGCCGGTTATAGTAAACTGTATGGCAACATTCGGCCCATATTTTCCCGTCTTCCTCAAATAGTAAAAGAGGACATCCAAGTGCTGAGACAAGAAAAATAAAACAAAAACAACCATCACTACTAAATGATTCAAAGTACTACAAATTTATACACGGTTATACTTATTTATACAAGGTTATACAATCTTATGCCGTGAGAATCTTGCATTTGATTCTACAAAGTTATGTATACACTATGGGGGTCTCAAACAATAAAGATACGCAACAAATAAAAAAAGGCATTAGGACAGAAAGTTATTAAATACCGTGTCAATCAAAGGTCGACCACAATACGCAAGTGAGTGGAACCAATCCTTCGTGGTCACATGACACGAGCCAAAAGTAAAAGCTTCCGCAAGCTTATTTACTTCATCGATATAAATATTTTTGGCACTTCAAATCACAAAAATAAAAAGTAATCAGAATTACCTTCATTGACAAGTATAAAATCAGAACATGAAAGCTTAAAGAAAGTTAAGCTACCTTCGCCTCGTATCCATCTCATTATCCACAAGCGCGCAAAACTCTTTGGCCAATGGCGACAAGGGATCAAAATCATCAATTTTGATCGTGAAAGGATGCTTGATATAAAAAATGAGCTTGTGCGCCGATCCTGATGCCCAGAATAAAAAACTAGCAAATACGATGATTTGGCATATTTTCCTGGTATTTTCTGTCGAACCGACTGTTCATGAGAAATGTAATCCTCTTCTATGTCTATGACGGGTGGTCTGAAGCACAATTTGCGACATGTGTAGCGCAACTAAATCTTCATCGCCAAAGTCATCCCAAAATGTATCACCCTTGACATCACCTGCTGCCCCTTAGACAGATAAAAACCAATAATAAAAAACTTTCAAAATAAAGAAAAGAAAAATCAAACAAAAAAGATAAAATGCAGAACGAATACCATGATCAACACCATCAGTAACTCCCTCATTTGCTTTGACACCTAAATCTGTTTTGTCAGCTAGCATGTTATCTTGATTCACTTTCTCGACAAAGTCAGGAACAACATCATATTGATCGCCATCATATTCGCCGAGACCAGATGTATTGTCATCAGACACGCACTGACGAATCTAATAAAAAATAATAGAAAGAGAAGGTATAACTGTTGAGTGATTTGGTTTTATCAGTAAAACATTACCTTAGAATCAGGAAACTCCTCCCTCGTTTGCTTGGTTTCCTTCATATTCAGAAAATCGAACACTTTTTTAAAGGAAGAAACTACATAACTGTTGAGTGTCGTAACTGTATCAGTCAACTACAACAAAAAACAACAAAAACAACAAAAGTAAATCAACAACCATGTTTATAACCAAAAAATCATGTATATACAAAAAGTATTGATAAACTACAAAAAAGCTAAAGCTGCAGTACCTTTCCAACAGCAATCCTTAACTTCTCAACTTCATCATGCAACAGATCAATGCACGCCGAAGGATCATAACTCGGTTTAGGCTGTTGCTTCGTATTTTGAGGATAAGGTCATTTAGACTGTTGCTCCATATTCTGAGGACAAGGTGGAGATGTAAAGACAGAATTATCAGTGTGAAAGGCAGGCACCTCCCCTGATGCAACATCATCGGCATTAACTTCAAAAAGGGTGGCGATGTTCAGCATTGACATCTCTTCACGAGTAGGGAAAATGTTCCTATAGTCCAACTACAATAAGAAAAGCTGGATTACAGTAGTAGAAAAAGGAAATTGTGACATATTCATAATTAGACATACTTACAGAAAAACTGAAATCATATATGAAGAAGTATTATGGTACAAAATGTTTACCTGGTCGATACTAGACATGATCACCCCGCCAGTCAAATCCGCATATGTTGGAGTTTTAGTGACTTTCCAATTAAGCAAGCGTGGCAGATTTGTGCCAACGCGAAAAGCTAGATGCTTGTCAACCATAGAGCAACACTTAAAAAACCATATTTATAAAGCAAGTGGAAAACCTCCGAGACTATACATTGTCAAATAGTCACACTGTTAGTCCCTCATTGTCTTTAAAATATCTTCAAATGACTTTTTTCCCCAAGCATACTGTCACGACCCGGATTTCCCACCGTCGGGATCGTGATGGCGCCTAACTCTTAGAATTCTAGGCAAGCCAACAGATACAGCTCTAACACATTATTCATTAACCAAAACAGTAATTAACAATAATTTAAACTAAACAAATATGAAGTGCGGAAATTTTATAACAGTTTAAAACACTAATACATAACTACCCAAAAGATCCGGTGTCACAATCCACAAACGTCTAAGAATTTCTACAAATACTGGTTTAAAGGAAATACATCTGTTCTCGAAATGAAAAGAGACAGGAAATCTAAGATAGAGGGAAGGGGACTCCAGGGTCTGCGAATGCCGGCAGATCTACCTTGGGTCTCCTGTGGACTGAAGGCAGCAACCCAAACTCTGATCAGTGCGGTTCAGTACCGGGATCTGCACAGAAAGTGCAGAGTGCAATATCAGTACAACCGACCCCATGTACTGGTAAGTGCCGAGCCTAACCTCGGCGAAGTAGTGACGAGGCTAGGACACGACAAATAACATGAACCTGTGAACTTAAATCATATACGAGAGAAATAACAATAACAGAAACTTAACAGATAGTAACCGAAAGGGGGAAAACATGCTGAGCGGACTATGAATAATTCTGAAAATAATACAGTACAGAAACACAGTAAATATCATGCTTTGAACCAACGAAAGTAATAACACAGAAATCACGTGCACGGCATCAACCTTCGTGCTTTTACTCTCGACCTTACCATAAGAAACAACAGAAACGGCACGGCATCACCCTTCGTGCATTAACTCTCTCATAATCATGGCACAGCATCACACTTTGTGCATTATCAATATCAGAATACGGCACGACATCACCCGTCGTGCATTAACACTCACAGAATATGGCACGACATCACCCTTCGTGAACTAACACTCACTCACAATAACTTGCACGGCATCACCCTTCGTGCTTTACTCTCTTCCTCACCCAAACAAACAGAACAATAATAACCCAGCAAGGGAATCATCAATAACCAACCTCGTATCAACATTTAACTTCACAATATAAATCTCAACTTGAGTCAATACTCAACCAATATCCAATACCAGGAAAACGTAATAAGACTTGTTTAACATGAAGAATAACCAGTTTAAGCATGAACAATACGTATAAAGAAATACAACAGTCACAAGTATAAAACTCATTCACATGCTTTGACCCGACAACAACGTATAGATACTCGTCACCTCAACTATACATCATACTCAACAACTAAACACGTAGCAAATAAGGCAACAACACCTAATCCCTCAAGCTAAGGTTAGCCACAACACTTACCTTGATTCCACGGCCAAAATCAAGCCTCAATTACCGTTTTACCTCTCGGTTCCACCTCCAATTCACTCGTATCTAGTCATAATTAACTTAATAATATCAATTATCGCTAAAGAAATCAATTCCAATGCATAATTACAAGTTTCCCAACATTTTTCCCAAAAAGTCAAAAATCGACCCCGGGCCCGCTTGGTCAAAACTTAAAGTTTGGACCAAAACCCGATTACCCATTCACCCCCGAGCCCGAATATACAATTGGTTTTGGAATCCAACCTCAATTTGAGATCTAAATCCCTAAATTTCGAAATTCCTAAGTTCTACCCAAAAACACCCAATTCCACCATGAAAAACCCTAGATTCTAAGATGAAATCTTGTAAAAAGATGAATAGATTGAAAGAAATGAGTTAAGAATCATTTACCTATGATTTGGGGAAGAAAGGGTCTTTGGAAAATTGCCTCTTGAAGTTTAGG